GTGTCTGTGGTTGAGTCTTGCTCCTCGGTCGCCTGCAGTCAATCAGTGAACTAATAAAAAAATGATTGGTAAAGTTTTGCAAAGTTTTTCACAGGACGAGCTCGGTGCCGAAACGGATTGAACTCTTTAACTGAGCGTCCACTGTAAATACCTTTATTTCGCTTTTTCATATTATAAGTAACGCTTTATATTCAATAAAGTCAATAATATGGAAAGTGTGGTTTTTCAATGCCATGCGTTATCCCACAGTTGTTCCCAAAATTCTTAAAACACCTCAACTGTATCTGGTTCCCGTTAAACTTTATGAACATAGTAACAGACAAAAATATTCAGTTCGAAAGTGAAACGCACGGAAAAAAGTTTAAGAAAGCTTTTCTGCGGAAAATGAGTTAATTTGCAAAAGTCACTGGCAGGAAAGGGAACGCGTATATGTGATTGAAGCCAACTCTTTTAAGGTACGATATAATGACGCAGTTGGATATATGTCCGGCTAAAGTCCATGATAAAGCCGTACATATGCGGGCTAAAAATATTGGCTATCATGCTCAGTATGCTGATTCTGTTTAAGTAGACGTTCTTGTTTTAAAATATTAACTGATAGTCAAGTGTTCTGTGCAGAGCCAAACAGCCAGATATTTTAGGCAGTGTGAACTATTTCCAAAAACAAACTATCACTGATATTTCGGTAGTGGTCACACCGCCGTCCATAGGAAACTTTTTAATTCACATCTAGACAACGAATTAGGCTCAAGTAGAGGACCGTTTTAAACGGAAGAAAAAATCATCAATGACGTATGAATTCCCTTGTTTGACGGTAAAAAAAAATCGTCTGACAGTGTTTGACACAAATAATACACACAAATTATTGAATATTGACTGTTGACCCTTTTATTGCATGCCGTTAGTTATTTTGTCTTTGAATTCAAGGCGTTCGCCTTGTTCACGGAACGGTTACAAGCATAATGACTGCACAGGCCCTCACTCGATTTGCTCCCGAAGCCCAGGTCATATCCAGTTCCTGGGGACCAACAGATTCAGGCAAATTAATGCTGCCGATGAACACTCATGTGGACAGAGCCCTGAGATACGCGGATACAAAGGTAGGTAAAGGAATGCAGATATACAAAAAAATAAAACGTACCCAGCACATGTTTGACACTGAATCGTCGTCAGACTTGAGAGCCTGGCAACGAAAAATTGACATCTTGAAAGTACTTGACATGTTAATTGCTCGTAGCACAGTTTCTCAAGTCTGATGGGGACCTAGAGATCCGGTGTCAAAAATCTACTGAATAAAGTTTCCCCATTTTGCCAAAGAAGGTCTCTCCCTACAATTACATTTCTTGGGATGTTCCCCTTCCACTCTGTACGAAATAATGCCTACCGTATTGAAATTGGTGCATAGGCGATGACCGATCACGTATATGACTCACTTGACTCAGTCTTGAGCCCCACTGGCATCCGCACCGCAGTAGAAGGTAGAGATTGGCCTGCCGTTTCAAAACGCTTTCGCAATTAATTATATAAGGAAAAAAACAGGAAAGTACCTGCAAATTGAATAAAACTTCGCTTTTTATTACAACTTATGCAGTCATGTAAATCATAAAGTGCTAATTTTTGCTAGTTTGTTAAATATCTGATTGCATGTGGAGATAAAATCACTAAAGATAATTTCCTTTCTCTAGAGTTTCGCCATCTTGCACAGAGATTAAAGCATAAACAAGCCCTCAAACGGTGCACAACCTGTGATCCAACTTACTTAAGGTACCTATCTATGAACATCGCTATTCCGAAGGAAATATAGCACAGATTTGCAAGCAATGGTCTATAGAACATGGAACAGATACCATTATTTTAGTTAATTTGGTCTGTTTTTCTTTAAAAGTCGTAAAAGTGGTCTGTCGGATTTTTAATTTCAAGTTTCGTTCGTGTGATGTTTACAAGGACGGTAAGGTGTGTCCCAGCCGTCAGCATTAGAATTTAACAACAGCTCTTGATAATTACGCCCCCCTCGTTCCACTGAACGCTTTATCATAAACTGGCGGAAATCGACTAAAAAGCGCCACCCACTCAAACATAACGATATACGAACTCCAATTACATGAAAATCCGAAATATCGCGTCCAACGCAGTATGTGTAAATTTGGTCTACAATTATAAAAAAAAATAATAGAACCACTAGAACCACGAAAGAC